CGGTGAGACCATTCAAACAAGAGCTAATGAGGAATACTCTCATGTGATTCTATTTCTTTCAGTTTGACTATTTTGCTAAACGAACTCTGTCTATTTTCCACTTCAAATCTCTCAGGAAGTCAAGTTTTGCAACATAGAACTCTTCAAGATCCAGACACAAACAGCATGTCAGGCACAGTTGCAGTGTTCACATTAGAGCCCGTCATGGCAAGCTTCACCCCCGTCTTCTTTATCAGTAACAAAGTTAATTTGTTCTTTATTTTACTTTCAGCGAAACCACCTCGTCAATTTTCCTGCCAAATAAGACTGGACAATGAATTTAATCCTTCCTACAATGAAATCTCGTCACCGGAATCTCTTGCCCTCATTTCAGAGCTAAACAGAGTCTTTGTACCCTTCTTCCAGAAGAGATTTCAAAACTTTCTTGAAATCATTTTCAAACGATTTTTCCAAGGAAGTATTGGAATGGATTTTGATATTTTATTTCGACCAACGTCGAATGTCTCAAACACAAGTATCGTTGAAGCCTTTGTAGAGGGCAATAGAACGAAAGAGCTGGCATCTTTAACCATACTAGGAGGCATTACTGTAACAGAACAACTTCCCGCTACACAGTCTACAGTTCAAAGCCCATCTGCAGTACCAGCAGGTATTTCGCCTTCGTTTGTTGTCGCTATTTCTGTTTATTGTTTTAAAGCGTTTCTAGGGAGACAAGCCTGCATATTATCATGTTTCTCTTAGCCTTTACCATACGTAATAAGTCTTGATAGTCTATTGTCTTGTTGTTCTGTTCGGACCTAAAGGTAAACACCTTCTAAAAACAAACGGGATATTCTAAAATGCCGATTTTTTGGTAATAATCAGCCACTTTAATGAAATTTTTACCAAGGGCGGTCAAAAGCGAATTAAGGGTTGTAAGATATTTAATAAAGAAGTTATATTTTACCAAAAAGTCACTTCATGAGGTACAAGGAAATTTCCATGTACCTTGCAATGGAACATATGGCAAGGTACACGGAAATTTCCATGTACCTTTTCAATGGTATTGCGAAAAGTACATGGAAATTTCCATGTGTCAGTGTATCCGTGCTGCCCAAAGAAACATGGAAATTTCCGTACACCTGCATTGTTGTATAAAAGTACATGGAAGAGATTTAATGAGAACATATTACTGTGAAGTACCCTTTTTAATATATTGCCTAATTTACGACAGTGTATACAGCTGACTGGCAAGCTTATCCAAAATTTGAACAGTTAATCTTGCCACAAAAAAGCTACGGTATTCATTTACATGCAGCGTAAAAAAGTTCTAGAAATAAAAATTGCTGATTGCATTTAACTCAGTCATTGGAGACTTCTTCGCCATCTGCCGAAGGTTTCCGTTTCGTCTCGTATTGATAGACTTGATGTTCCGAAGAAATTTTTGTAGTATTTTCTCGTCCCAGTCCTGAAAAACATCAAAAGAAACATCCGCGTAAGCATAACTAGCTATCTCTTTCTGAGTTTGAAGAATTAGTCCTCTTCTATCTTACCATTATTAAACGTTTTTCTCCTTCAAAAATCTTTGTTTTAGGATTTCTAATAAATTGGATAAAGGCGTTCCTTGGTGAAATAATCAAACAGCAATGAGCTTCCGAGGACCTGTATGCATCCTTCGCCGGCGAAAAAGTGAAACATTAAAAATTGAGCAAGAGAATAATAGGCCATTTCCGAAACGCGTTTTACCTCTTAGCGGGAGGCTAGGTGCAGTGGCCTTATGGTTAATGCGCTCAGCTCCGGATCGAGGGGTCTGGGTTCAAGCCCTGGCGGAGACATTGTGTTTGTCAAAACGAGTCTTCGTGTTAAACCATTCATATGAAAATGTGTTTTCCCTACAGGTTCATTTTCAGGCAAATCAAACTTATTTTTATATGAAAGGTTTTAAACGAGGACTCATTTTGAAACAGAGGCGCAAGGTGACTCGGAAATTAATTAATATTTCAGTATTCTGAAGTATGTAGCCTGAATTCTCCGGAGCTCGTCAAATGCGGGGACGACGATGGAAGAACGGCAGCAATGCCATAATTCAGTGGAACCCCGCTTTACGGACACCCGCTGATAACGGGCAGTTATCGTTGTCTCGATAACTAAAAAGATCATGTATTTTCTCTTGGATTAGCCAGCTTAATGCGGACACTTCCGCATGTCGCTTTAGTGTCCGTTTTAAGGGGTTCCACTGTATATTTTTACGCAGTGGCTTATCGTGGTCTAAAGCGAACATCCACCTGGATCACTCGGCTCCCTTGATTTGCTAACACACTCGCCTAAGGTTTCTCCTGCGTGTATTTAAAATATTGTTACTTGTATTATATCTTTATTCACACTTATTAACACAATCTTTTTTCACACTCACCAACAGCTGCTTAGTTAGGAATTACGTATCAAAATTTCAGTGATTCGGTGGCAGTACGCGATAGAGTGGAGCTCAATCAATATGTACTTTTCTGTCTACAGAGTCAGACAAACTCGAGACATGGATCATCGTTTTGATTGTGACTGGAATAGTAATCCTTGCGCTACTTGTGATCATCGCTGTTTTGACAGTAAGTATAATACATTAGTAGTTTCTTTTAGTTGTCATGTGGTTAGATCAAATATGGAAAAAACGAAGGACATCGACATGGTGCGTGTGGCCAGGATAACGTGAACTAAAAAAATAAGTTGAGCGAAAAACGGTTTCACCACGCATCATTTGTCGATTTGGCATGTGGTTATCACAAACAGTTTTTCCGTCATCACCATCATCATCATCGTCATCGTCATCATCATTATCATCGTCATCATCATCATCGTCGTCATCGTCGTCATCTTCTTTTTCATCATTGTCATCATCTTCATCACCGTCATCATCACCGTCATCATCACCGTCATCATCATCGTCATCGTCATCGTCGTCATCATTATAAATCATAAATCATAAATGAAAAGGCCTACATCAAAAAATGGACTGAACAGAATTAAAAAATGCAAATAATCAAATAAAATTACTTTAAATCTTTAGGAACTAAAGACCTAAACTGGACTAAAGTAACTATCAAGGGATAAAGATAGGTTAAGGGAAAGGACACGGCTTGCACTGTAGAAAGTTAACAAGTCATGAAAAAAATACATCATGAGTTGTTCATAAATTCATGTGTGTTTATATTTTTCATAGGTAGCGTACAGACGTGAAGCCGATAGAGGCAAACAGGACATGTTACCTACTGATAGCTTCTCGGAATTAAGGAGATTGGAGCACGACACCATGCCAGCTCACGCTGGACATGTTAACGGTCACGCGGCCCTCAACGGAAATGGAACACCGATAACCACAAATGTAAGCCAGTCCTGTTGATTTTAAAATTTATAAAGCATAACACTGTACTTTGTGCGCACCGACTGGACCAAAACGCTTGGAAAAAACTTTATAAACGTATCAAAGACAAAAACCCTGCTTTTTCATTTGTCTCGATACGTTTACCATTCAGCAAAGAATAACGAGAGAGAGCGGCTAAAACAGGATTTTCCAGAGGGTCTCTGTCCGTCCCCTAAGAGTGGAGGGAAACTGGACTGGACACCAGATTAATCCTGTATTCATTCAGGAGCCGAGTAGAGAAGGAAAGCAACTCAATCCCAGCGTCGCTCTTCTCCCTGGGAACGAGGTTGATAAGGAGATTGAATTTAACATCTTTATAGAATACTCCAGGGAAATATGAGTGTAACCGAGAAAGATATTCACTTGCTTTAATTAAAAGATTTAGATTACTCGATTAATCTTTGGATTCGCTTGTTTCTTTATATTTCCAATTTTTTAAAATTGGAAATACAAAGACTTAATTAAAATTATTATATCAAATGTGCGAGATCGCGTAATCATGAAATAAGCACAAAAATCAGTAAACAAACAGTTTCTGTATTTTTGTTGCAAAGCTAAATCATGATTTGAAATCAAAGCTCCTTTCTATTGACCCTTTTACATTGAAAACAACAACAACAACAACTGAGAGCAGAAACAAAAACAAAACAAAAACCAATAACTCCGGGCTTAACGCTGTTCATTTTGTTCCTCACAGGCTTTGCCGTGGTACAAGAATGAAACATACGGACATGTTCTCAACGAGGCTTACTTGGATGACGGCGTATCGTATGACAGCGCATTGTAATTAATTATTATTGCATATATTACCGTTGAATTGCAAGGACACCGCAAAGCAATGCAACGCAATTCTACTGGACGTTTCATCCAGTAACGTCCGCTTTAGCTGTTTGTGTACTCTTTTACATGAATGCTTTGTAAAAAGTATTAAAGCCAACTATTTATTCAACTGTTGGAATATTGTTATGTTCCTCATAAATCAATCACAGGGATACTGGGATAATTGCGGTCTTCTAAGAACCTTTGAGTCAACTTTAAGCTCATTTGATATCGACATGATCTTTGTTCCCGATGAAATATATTTCTACTATTCCCACTGCATTATTAATTAACTAGCACATTGCAAATTAAAACATGCTGTTATTTCTTACCATTCCCCCGTTATCGCCAGTGCTGGTAGCGTCGGTAATGCTTTGCGCCGTTTGGAGTTGAAATTTGGTCGCTCCGCTTGAATCGAAGTCTTCGTTCTGAGCCGGGTTGTTCAAAGCCCGATTAAACTAACCCAGGATAAGCGAGAATTTTTGATTCCAGTTTTGTAACTTTGTGGTAAGATTTTCTGTTTATATTGTTTGGCCTTTTGCTCTGAGTTTCAATAATCTTAAACTACACAAAACAAAAACAGTGAAAAACATTTTTACACAAGAATAATTTATACTTCGGTTGACTTTTAACCCTAGGTTAGCGTCAACCGGCTTTCGAACAACCCGGTCCAGTGGTCCACAAACACAGTCATATTTTGCGACCCACCCGCCACCCATGATGGCGGTTGACGAAGCTCTTATATAGATACCTGCTCATATCCTGGTTGCATGCCTATTGCCTCAACAGTCAGGGACTCCTCCCAGAACTTAATCTTGTGCGATAAGGTAATGAGTATGTGGTGAGGATATGGTACAAAGCGAGTTACTTTGATGTTCACGAGCAGCAGGTCACGTGACCACGTACGAACTCGGAGAATAGCCCTTTTCACGGTTAACTTTGCTCATTTGCATTACAATAAAATCTAGCATGTATGTGAGGCAATTTCGGCCTCGCATCCACGTTGGATTACATTGTAATGCAAATGAGAAAAATTAACCGTGAAAAGGGCTATTAGTGCCATAAGAATTGGATGGCCACGCGAAAACAAGATAGAACTGGTTATGAGATATCAGCCGTGCTTTTCCTTAAATTCTCAAAAGATAACCAGATAACTAGACAAGAAAAAACTATGGGTGTTCCAATATCCAGTCAGCTGAATTTTGGAGTACTCCAGGGATTCTTAAAGCAAAAGAAAAGCGCTGAAGTTTTCGGGAAAAGAGCGGCTTGGCAACTCTGAAAACCAGCTGTTGGTTTTCAGCGAAGTAGTGGACACAACTGCACATGAGCAGAATATTATTTGCAACAAAATCGCTTGAAGACGCTAATGCACATAAGCAGGCCGTTATTTGCCGGCAGTCATTTGCAGATCACGTGGTTGACTCTCTGCCAATGAAAATATGTGGAAAGAGAAATGCATCGAAATGATAAATCCCAATAGTAAGGACCCATCCGAAAACATCCTCCTTGCCCAAAATCTGTGGCTAGGAAAACATCCGAATATCGATTTTATGCCCGTTACGTATTAATCTAAAAGGTACCATATATATATTTAGAAGAATTCTACTAGTATACTAATGCAAATGCTGCAATCCGATTGGCTGAGCTATTCGTATACTATCAGCCATTAGAATGCAGTAGCTGTCGGTCGTCCACGAAATGCGACGTTTGTATCGTTTTCCCGAAGTTTTGGAAGAAAGTTTGGATGTAAATGAATAATTAAATTCCTGAGAAGACTAAAAGAAGGGGGTAAACGGATTCTTGACTTTAAAAACTTGAAATTATTGAGAAACCGGTGCGCGGGCGTAAACAACTGCAAATTTACCAAGGACGATTCAATACGTGCGATTTTGTTAAAGCGTAAAGTTCAATAATGCCTCGAAAAATATTTGGAAACCATTATTTGCGATAATTTAAGTTAGAATTCTACTAAAACAGATTATTCTACTAAATTAGATTATTCGCTCTTGATTTCTCTGAGGCGATAGTTGATTCGGCCTACGGCCTCATCAACTATCACCTCATAGAAATCTCGAGCTCATAATCTAATTGTTAAGTTGATTATAATGGCTCTTTAAATTGATGGGTCCCCGCGATACTTTCTCGGTAAACGCGTCAAATGAGTTCCACTGAAGAAAAAGCTGTTTATTTTGTGTGATGAATTAAAAACGCAATTTGCCGAAACCAGATAATTCGTGAGCGGTCTACTGATTATAACGGTCCGTATAGTAAAATTCGGACCGCTCAGAAAACCAATAAGAATTCGCCTTTTCACCCCGGCCCGGTTCAGCCATATAATAACAGTTTCATGAGAATTACAAACCTCCTGTTGACCTGAAGCGCTACAATATTGTTTATACGAATTAGCTCACTAGGAATACTTCTTGACTCATAACAGATCATTGCATTCCTGGCATTATACACTTCCCGGCCCTTTATCGGTTTGCCGTTCTTTCGCACCTGTCGCGTGATTTCAAAGTTTTGTGCCTTGATAGTTCTTCGATCGAAAAGGCTTCACCACGTTTGTTTTAACGTTTTTCCAAAGCCAGCATCAACATACACTTCCTATGTATTCTATGTCCACCAAAAAATCTCGATATCTTTCGCCATTTGAACAGAAGGACGACAAATCCATGCCATGAGCTCCAATGCATGCATGAGTTCTCCTGTTTGAATTGCACTGAATAAACGTTCAGTTCAAAGCAACTCTATTGGTTCTTAATTAGAATTGCGATTGTTTTTCCTTTCAAAATGAGTCAAAGTTCATCAGCTGGTAATTGTTTACGCATATTTTAGAGTTGCTGCCTGAATCATGCTAGGTTGGATGAAAAGTTCAGAATTATTACTTTCTGACAAACACGTATATGGACGCCGTATCCGTAGTAATATAATAATTTGAGAGTTAATATTTCCTCCTTGTTACAGTTTTATTTAGCTTGATGCCTCTGCTAGCGAGCTTAAGTGCTCCATCAGGTTTTCGAGCCTTCATTTGTTTTCCGGCCATGTATTAATTTGTCTTTGAAGCCCGCATATCAGGTTTGGTCGTGCAATACTGCCCACTAAAAGGTTATCTATTCTCCAGCCCATGCCAGTTCGTGCGACAGGTGTATAGCAGACAATGTCATCATTGCGTCAAAGCTGGGAAAACTGTCAATTATTTATTGAGCGATTTAGCGAGCGATGTTATTAATTTTACCTGAGTATAGTGTTGCAGAAGCTGGCGGAAGGTCTTTTCACGGGCGAAGAACGATAGAAATTTCTGACTTTGGCAACATTTGATGGCGTTTCCTTGGATTTTCCCAGCGATTGTGTTGGGGATTATCGTCTTAGTTTTGGGTAAGTCTTTCTTTTGTCGTTATCACTTCGATAACTGTGAGATTTTGTTTTAATTCTTCACTGTTGAATAGAATCAACCTAAAGGTTGGCTCTTGAAATATTCCGCTGATCATGCTTCAAAACGTTTTTAACTACTTAGTTTTGATCGGTACGTATTTTTCTGGTTAAACAATATTCGTTTCAATTTTCTTCTTTGCCAGTAAAACAATTCTGTCATTAATGTGCTGAATATGGTAAATATTCTTACCAAAAATAAATTTTAATCGTGCATTTAATAAAAATGCAGTTTAAAACACGACGTTTATTTACGGGAAATGGTGCGAATTAAAAGGAAAAAAAAATATATGGGGCTATAAATATATTGAAATCTTGTGGGCAAATGTCAGGTTCGACATGTAGAACTGTTTGCTTTGTTAATGCATGCTCGGCTGCTATTTGTTTGTTTTAGATCAAGTTTCTGTTCTGTTTCCATAAAAATTTGTCAGTTTGCTAGACCCTCAAACCCGCTCTGCCGCTCTCTACAAAGTTAATTTGTGAATAAGTGAATATAGACATGTAAATTTTGATTTGTCTTACAAAAATTTACATTAACTTTTGCGAATTTTCTCCAGTAATAAACATGATTTCAAACAATTTAGTCAGTTTAATCGAAACATTTCTGTAAACTTTTAAAAATACGAAAACTGAATAATTCTGTTAGCATATGTTATACTAGTAAATATTGAAAAAGAGCGTTTCACAGGGTCTAGCTTAACAACATGATAGGACCTGCCGTTACTACTCACAGACAAATCGAAACTAAAGATATCAGTTTCCCTTAGTGCTAAACAACATCCTAGTTTTGTATAAGGTTCAGTTCGCAACATATCATTGAAGATTATATATTTAAATTTATCACTTCGTAGTTGCAGCAGTTGTGAAAATATGTACAAGTATTGAAAAGCGATCGACTTTCGCAACAGACTTGCTTAGAAAAGATGGAATAAATTTACGTTACACTGAAAACTAAAGTAAAACAAGACATCTTCTCTGAAATAAACGAAGAAAAAAGATTAGATGGACATGCAGTACAGCTAAACCTTTTTTTTTCCACTTCCACTTGGAGTTTATGAAACATGGGTCATCGGTACAGATTAAGTAAAATGCAAAATTCAAGAAGTTAATATTTCTTATATAAATGGGTAGAATAGAAAAGCTGTCTGTAACTATCCGTGCAAAGCACCTGTATGTTTTGCCTAGACTCTTTAATACCGAGCCTTAATACCGACAGCCGTGAGAGGGACAGGACTAAGCTGAGTGTCCGTATGGGTATGTCTAGCTCTGTGTTATGGATCTAGAGATTGTGTGCCGTATTCTGGTCTCTCCTGGAGCGAGTGAACTGTCCTCATTTCTGTATTATAGAGGTATCCTTATCATAGGGGTATCCGTAAGGATGGCGGTACGGTCAATTGAAGTCATTGGTGCACTCGCAGCCTGACAGTTTTCAAATCGACTTCGTGTTATGTCGCTGAGCATAACACGAACCAACCTTGCTTTGAACCAACCAAAAACAGTAAACCTGAAAAGCAGACAAACCCAGATGTGTACCGTCACTGATTAAACAATGTGAAATGCGAAATTGTGCAAGACGTGTTCTAGCTATATGTCTGAGGGTGTTCAAAGACCGGCAGGGAAGTTTACCAAAATGTTCCTTTATATACCCACCGCCAAACGACAAAATTAAATTTCAATATCTATGCTGTGGAGTATTCAAACCCGAATTGTTCTCATTTTGTCTAAAATTCATAGGAATAAATGGACGTTCTTCCCTTACTGACTACAAACAAACTACTGTGGAGCCATCCCTTCAAACGTCCACCATACCACCTTCAACAATCACCTCTACTATTAACACTGGTCTGCATACTCATCAAGTTACGGAATATGACGCGTCTAATATCAGTGTTGCAAATTCTTCAGTCGCAAGTTTGGTCCAATCTGCATCACTCATCAGAATGATATCTCATTCTTCAAAATTAGTTTAAAGTCAGTATAACTCTCGAGGCTCAAACACGATGGCATCGAGGCAAGAAGACAGATCGAGCTCCGAGATGTATGTCACCGTAGCAGCAACTGATGGATCAGCGGGGGGATCTAAAACACAAACAGCAAGACACAGCTTCACCAATGGTAATAGCTTACGAACAACGATAACACATGGAAGCTTGACAAAGACAATACTCCCATCTTTCTCTACCAAAAGAAGTAAGGAATCCTTTTCTGTGACACCCATGGTTGGACAATCATCTACTTTTTCACTACCAAGTGGAGGAAATGGATCGCTCGACGTATCCGCGCTTCCAAGCTCTACAATAGGTAGTGAATCTTTACAAACCTATCCAAGGACAGTTGCTTTCTCTATGTCGGTAACGACTAGTACACCAAAAACTCAACTCGATACCAGTTACAATATGTCAGCTGCGTCGGAAACACTCAACTTGGCACAGACGTTGAAACTGTCTACAAGAAGGAGTTTGGTAACTTCCCATGGTAACACAACTACATCATTTGCCCTGAGCATAACATCATTGACACACACGAACAACTCTTCAGGTGTGCTGTCTGTTATCCATCCCACAACAGGTAGTGTTGCAACTGTTAGCACTATTGGATCGTCATTACCACCAGTCTCTTTCATACCCGCCATCCCTTACTCTGTGACCAAAACATCCTTGATTTCTAAGATGTACCAAACTACAGATGTTCTTTCACATGTCTCAGTATCCTCTAATAACATTTCTTTGCCTAACATTCTCAGCAAAACCGCTGTGTTGGAACGTACCCCGTACAGTGGTTCCGATAAGCTGTTAACAACAGTTTTCTCAGAGGTTCATGCCACAAGAGTGAGTAATCCAGTGATCACTTCGTTTCAGACGATCACAGCAAAGAGCATTTTAGCTGAAGCCAATACCTCAAGTAAGCTATTTTTATCTAGCAGTGCTTCAGGGAGCCTAGTAACCTCTACTTATCAAACAGAGAAGAATATTATTTCCGGTTCTCCAACAGTCAGTATGGAATATTCATCAAGAATGATTAAAGACTCTGCAAGTGAAGTCTCTATTAAAGACGCATCAGAAAAATTGACAAGTACTCAACATCTCTCTGCAACAATAACTTCTGCATTTTCATCAACGATAAAAGAAGCCATGGTACGGAACAATACCTCAAACATAAGAATCCTTGACTCGAGCCTTGATACTTTCGCACCCAGGAGTATTTCAAACATCAAATCTACCATGTTTCAGATCTCATTTAGTTTGTCCACATATCCTTTTGCTCCTTCACTCACAGCTGAATCACTATTTTCTGTCAAAGCGTCCAACACAAGTACTTCACTTACGGCATCACAAGCAGGAAGTGGTAGCCGATTGCAGTCTCTAACGTCGGCGCATGCATCGTCTTCTTCACCCTTCATTGTAGATCCCGGTGTTTCCGAAACGTCTGTACTAGTACTAACAACGCAAAAGCCATCAAAAGGTGTGTCAGTCACCATGCATGACAAACCATCGATCTATGCTTCCGTAATAACAGTATCCAGTCCCTCCACTGGTACAAACTTGAGTTCCGCAGTAAAGTTCCCTTCGACAAGCGATACCAAACAACAGCGAACATCTAGTATTTTCGTCTTTGCAATTAGCTCGCATGCCATCAGACCGACAGAACTTCCTTTTGGATCAATAAGCACAAATACTCTTCCTGGTAACTCTATTTGGACTTCATTTTCGAAAACCAAAGAAACCCTGGACAGCATTCAAACACAAAGTTCGCCTTCTCAAGAAACACCACCATTCACTGGCAGAATCACCTCTAGCATCGGCCTTGAGTCGACAAAAACTTTTGGAACTGCAACAACTGCACTTGTAGCTACTGTCAGTGTCTCGACACAAGCAGGACCACCAGCTGTGAGTCCAAAGCAGTTTGACGTTACCATGGTATTGCAAATGACTTGGGAGTCGCACTACGAGTATTCGTATACTCCAGAATTCCAAGCTCTTGCGTCTAAAGTTAAAACACAAGTTACTGCAGTGTTGATAACACTCGACGGCTTTCTTTCCCTGAACGTTTTACGCTTCTGGAAGAGTAGCGTTGGTGTTGATCTTGTTGTGTTTATGAAAAAAAGCACCGAAGCGAGCGAGAATACCGTAGAAAGAACGCTCGTAGAGGCGAATAATAGTGGTGTTCTGGATTTGCCTCTAACAAGCATTCAAGTCCAGGAAAGAGAAACAACACAGTCTACAAAAGAAGACAAATCGATTGAGCGATGGATAATTATCCTCATTGTTGCTGGTATCCTGGTATTCTTGATGTCGCTGATAATCTGCTCTTTGTTGGTAAGTAAGCTATAATAGTCTATAGTGCATGTTTTTCAGCTTTACTCCAATAACTCAGATATTTCCATTAAAGGTATAACGACAACAGTCTCGTTTTATTGCAAGTCGAAGTTATGTCTTGGTTATTTTGCTGCATTTAAAAAGATGGAAAGATAACGCACATGTACATGTTGGTGTGTCAGCAGCGAGTACATGGAAATAAGTTTCATTGAACCCCCAGGCTAGAGAAACTGATTAGTAGCTTGAAAACCGATAAGTGGCTGTCAGGTTTGAAAACGAGCTAATGATGGAAAAAAAAAACATAATGGGGGTTTTAGACTACAGGTTCTTATTAAGCAAGTTCCTGTAGAAGTGTTCACTGCATGTGGTTTCGTTTTGAAGCACCTGGCTATCCCCTCCCTGTATTTCCCATCTCAGTGGACAGAGTATTTTTCTTTTGTAAATTTTACACTGCACTGTAACATGTCGCAATGCTTTGTTCTGTGCATAGCATGCCATATCATGTTGTGCTAGCTAGTAAAGGCTGGTTTTCACTAGTGACGGAGTTGTAGTCGGAGTCGTAATCAGAAGCGTAGAGCGACCTAGTGAAAATCAAACCGACGGAGTCAGAAGCAGAACACCGCATTCGCTTATGACTCCGTCGCTTACGATCTGGTAAAAATTGCATTGTCGGAGTCGCAAGCAGAACCAGAAAAATAAACCAATCACAATGTTCGATTCCAGGCCTTGTAATTGGTTGGTTCTTCCGTTTCTGCTTCCGACTCCGACAATCTAGTTTCACTGGATCGTAAGCGACGGACTCTTAAACGGAATCGGAAGAATTGGAAACGTCCTGATTCTTCCGACTCCGATTCCGTCGAGCTTATGACTCCGCTTACGACTCTGATTTTCGATTTTCACCAGGTCATAAGCGCTCTTATGACTCCGATTACGATTCCGACTATAACTCCGTTGCTGGTGAAAACCAGCCTTAAGTGGGGTGGAGAGCGATTGAGTGAGCGCGCCAACGAGGGGGGCTATTACATTGACGCACTTCCATAAGACAGTCATGAGAAAGGTTACTCGGTTTCGATCGGCAGTTAAGTTAGTTCTTACCAAAAGTTCGCTTTGAATGTTATTTAGGTAAAATTGACCAATCAAAGGGGTGGATTGCGTAGAAGGAGCAAGTACCAGGTTTCGGGAGCCAACAGTTACCTCAGCTATCTGTACACTGACTGCCCACACTCAGAATCAAAACCTGTGATATTAAGGATGGAAGAAAGAAGAAGTGATCTCAAAGACGATTCATCTGCTGCAAGTGCATACGGAACTGTGCACAGCAGCAGCAGTAGAGAGGAAAGCATGTCCCACAAGGATGACAGCATCCCGCCTATTGACTACACCAACAGTGACTATGAGAGGATAACCAACGACCCCGCAACCTTAAGCACTGTGACATTAGGCAAGGAGGAAAGAGTTAAGGAGCTCCAAGAAGACCCCATAAATATTACGCCATACACCTCCACTGGCAGTGACAGCAGACAACGTCTTTCGCACAAAGAAGTCCAGGCAAAAATTTCAACTGACGAAGAATGGGTCCACCAGAATCATGGGTTCAAAGATGAAGAAACATTTTAACAAAGAAAACAACAAACATCTGGTGAATGCGCGTACTTTGATTGACGCTGTCTACTTACGCAGAGCTGGACTTCCTGACACGAAAGACACTTTTAAAATCACAAAATACCTGCGTTTCTTCTTTTATAACTAAGCAGGCAAGTTGGCAAATATACAGGACTTACGATCCAAGTTATAGTTTAAAAATGGACGAGTAACCAGCTGGATAAGACATATTTAAAATTTAAAAAAACGTTCTATGGTTGAAATAGTTTAAAATTACGAGCTTTCGATTCTCAGTCTGCAATCTTTGACAAATAGTGAATAATTCTTTTATTCAGTATTTGTCAAAAAGCTCGTAATTTTTTTAAATTTTAAATACAAATTATAGGTATAAGCAATTTAAGAGTCATAATGTGAATAGTTCTGAAACCCGAGACGATAGAATTATGATAAAACTTGCTAAGAGACCTGGTTACTTGTTCCTTATGATGAGCCGTCCACAGTAAACCAGTCCATGACAGTACCACCCTTTTTGAATTAGACTGCTGAAAGTGTTAGTAATATCTTCTGTTAAGTGTCTCAGTTCATGTACTGTACTTTATTGAGTACGTGACGATGGCATTACTACAATTACATCTACCTCGAGTATTCCGGTTATTCGGAAACTTTCTATATGAGTACAAAACGACAAAGGTTTCACTTTAGGTTAACAGTGATTTAGTAAACCTTTAACCAACCCGACTAAAGTGGGCCCCTACGCACTGGAAATACAACCTGTGATTCCGGTCGAAGCTTCAAAGTACAGGTGGAAAACATCTAGTTCGTTTAGCTTTACAAAGTACACAGTGAAGTCTTTGAATCGCTCATCATTTAAAAACTGGTAATCTCTGTCCATAAACAAGACAAACCTAGAAAAACACCTTACTGTATTTACAGTTTACACCTCTGTGACCATAGTTAATAGATGGAAACTGGCAGAGTTCTTTGTTGTATGTTTTTGTTGTCTATTTTTGGGGGTCGACCCTGCACAAAACCTGGAAAATTACAAAAGGTGGTTATGGGGGTCCATACAACTAACCAATAGAGGCATTGCGATTATATAATTCATGCATAGTCTATGAGCATAAAACAAAAGATGTGCAGGGTCAAGGACCTTCCAACATACATCTTAGCTTATTTATTTACTTCTTGATGTTTAACGGGCTTCTTAATCATTTCCTCTTTTAACTATGACCTTATCTTACAGCTACAAAATTGAAATACATAATTACCATCTCAGAGTAAACCAGCATATAAACTTTCATAGCATTTGGTGGTCACTTATCCCCCGGGGAACTGGCAGCACAACAGCTTCGTTAGAAAAACCTAATTCTATAAATCTGCTTGAAATAATATAACTGCCTTGATAAGCCTGGTTGCTTACAGAAATATAGATAACTGAATCCGTGAGAAGGCACCATTAATCTATAAGCAATCTGTATTCATTTATATTATACTTTAGGTCTCATATTTTGTTGGTTTATTCTTGTAACTAGTTACATACATAACCCGTGATCACATTGTAATTTGTAGTTGCAGAAACAAATATTTGGACTAGCTATTATTACCAGATAAGGGGAAATCAGCTTTGGTAGTAACCAGGCCTTACAACTACACTGAAAACAAATTATGTCTGCCTAATATAATTATGTATCAAGGTTTTTTCATCCAATAAAGCAGTATCATTAATAATAAAGTCTGATATAAAATTTCTATATAAAATAGTTGCCATATCTCTTACGAATTCATACAATAATTGTTAACAATTTAGTTCGTAATCACTTTTGAAAAACTTCATTATCGGAAAAATCAGTTTGAGGGAATAGTACACCAAACGGCTAGTACTATCTCCAAAACCCAATAAAATAGAAGTATATACATTCGAACCTCCGGTTGCGACCACCTTTCCTCAGCGACCAGTCTTCCAAAATACCAAAAGTTTCCAAGTCAAATCACCATATTTGGAACCTCTCGTACGCGACCGCCTCTCGTAAGCGACAGCGACCACTTTTAGAGCTAAAAGTCTGAAATTTTCCTTTGTTTTTTACCTCCCGTTAGCGACCGCAGGACAGATAATGGAGCGAAAGATAGGCAATAAAGTGTTGTAACATTATCGTATTCCTGGCTAGTACAAGAAACAGAAATGCCTCAATGGGAAGAACCGGATTTTTTCTCAAACTTACATGAATAAAAACACTGCATCGGCATTGGCAGTTATCATATTTTAATGAGGAAAAATTTTGACCCATTTTGGTCTAAGCTCTCCTAAGCGACCACCTCCCATAAGCGACCACCTAGGCTTGACATTTTGGGTGGAGGTTCGACTGTATTTACATTTAATTTTTCTATCTGCATCGAAGCTGTACCGAATCTGTGAAACTGTTTACTACTCTTCAATCCACCAATCTTTACCATTTCTCAATATATCGAAGAATGTACAAAGTGGTACTGATACTTAAAAACGTTTTCTACGAGGCCCTAAAAAGAAATGCATAGAGAATCTTAATGTGGATATTGGGGGTTAAAATAATAAAAATCGATAATGAAAAAAGAAAAAAACAATTGATAGCGACTCAAGCTAAGGAGGTGAAGGAGCAACTTAAGCATGATCAAAAGCATGGGAGAATTTGTTTTTACAAGGAAAATGGGAGTGCAAGCATAACGCAAGCACAGGGAAATAAAACTATTTTGATGCTTTTGCTAATGCTTACGTCGAGCCCGTTTTCACGGTGAAACAATGGCTTTTGCTACTTGGTCTCTTGCTACTTGGTCTTTTGCTACTTGGTCTTGCTTGTGTCTCTAATGAAAATCATGTTTGCAAAATTCTACTCTAAATATATCACGCTAGAGTCATCTACTCTGTCTTTTCAAGTTTGTTTTTTGACTCCACTTTGTAAGCGTCCATCTTAACTTGTTCCTCGTCTGTTCTGTGACCTAACAATGACAGAAGATAACAAAAGTGAAATCTCCTTGAATGTCCAACACTTTATTTCAAACAACATAACGCTTTGCCACGACGGCAAAGGCAACGAGAACGTCACGAAACAATAGGTTTAATGAGTAAAACAATAGCTGTGCACGTGCGTTATAAGTCTTTGTACATTTCATTGCCGTCCTCGTTGATTACGTTCTGCGTATTTTAATGTTTTGTAAATTTATTTGGAATTGAACTCTGGCATTACATATTTAGCTTGAGCACGTTCCGAGACCAATAGACGCTGTCAACAGATCTAGGCAACTGCGACATTTGAAGGTAAAATAGAAATTTATTTTTTACTACTTGTTGTCCGCGGTCGTCATTGCTTAAGTCCTCTAATAACATCAAAGAAGACTCTTTCCCTTCAATGGGATTGTCAATTCGTGCATTCGCGTGCAAATTATAAATCAAAATATCTGCTCACCCCAAATGTAACCAAAGCATAAGCTTCAAGTTCGCTTGTCATTGACAGGTCTGCTCAAAACGCCGTTTGTAGGTTTTACTTCTGAAGCACGCAGATTTCGTTCCCACATGAGAAGGTCGTCACTGCTTCGCGTCCACCCAGAATCGTTGATCATCATGTGCTCAGGAAAGCGAGTTTTCTTCTTAAGTTTCGCGTATTTACACTGAAAAGTTAAAATACAGTAAATTAAATAAATTACAACATTTAGACAGGAAGCCTCATCAGCCTGGGTGGGTCCTCTATCCTGGTCCAATTGGAATTTGGAGATGTTTGGTTTTTTTTTTTTTTACGGAGGGAGGAAAACCGGAGTGCCCGGAGAAAAACCCTCGGAGCTGAAGGTGAGAACCAACGACAAACTCAACCCACATTGGTGGGAGGCGAGCGCTCTCACCACTGCGCCAACCCTGCTCCCCAAAATGAAAACAGTTAATAAGCTTACCAATGCGTTTGTTTGTAAATACTTGAATCTCAGTTCTTATCTTCAGTTTTTAACTAAGGAATCCACAGAGAAAAAAATACTTGGCTGATACGAGAGCGAAAACTTTTCCCCTCTAAAAAATAAATGGAATAAATGAGTTTCTCTTTTGGAGTTTCTCGCCATTGCGGCAGCGAAAGGTCAAGTTAATTAATGTAACTAAAATTGTCCCAGCATTCTTAGTGTCAAAGCTCAAACGGAGGAACGTATTGAACGGCCGGTAATACAAAACGTTAAATGACCGGTAAATACTTACACAGACGCAGATCAGAGCAATAATAAGGATGAGAATAAGAGCCACGGCAACCACAACAATAATGAATGTTCCCAAAGGTGTGGCCAGGTCGATGGCTTTGTCCCAAATTTCGGTTGCCACTGGAGTCGTTGAAGGGGTTTCTGAAATAGAAAAAAATACACCGTGATCAGCATCTTTCTAAGTTGTAACGCTTATCGTTCTTTTTACCTGAAGGACTTTTTTTAAACAAAAACAGCGGAGTAGAGAGCTAAGACTGGGGAGGGGTTGAGAAATTGACATGGGAGGGAGGGGTCAGTTCTCAATTTTGTCTCAAGTGGACGTGTATCTGGCACTGAGGCCTAAAAATGCAACTGCCTCCACCCAGGTAACTTCTCAGTCTGACGTTCAATAATGAATCGTACCAGAAAGAAAAAGAATCGCACATCTGATGGCGGTAACAGATTTTGATTAAAAGCAAACGAGAAAATTAAAATGTAAGAATAGTACTAAAGCCAACTTGGACGCTATTGATACCTGTAACAGTAGCCGTTGGAGACGGAGTACTTGAAGTAGATGGCTGATCAGTTGAATTGACGCTGACCTTTCCAAGAATAGTGTAACCCAGGGTTGTTCCATTACCACGGTTAAGAGCCTGAACTATAGTATCCACTGTCGCATCCGACGATTTCTGTACCACGATATCAAAATCCACTACCACGCTTCCATTTGCTAGACCTTTAACCACAACACGTTCAAAACCGTCGAGTTCCGTATTTAGGAATCCTCCTACACTTCGACTAAAGTTATATGCAAATATTTTGAAATCTGTTGAACTGGAGTCGTTGAAACCAGCTTTATACGTTTCGTTCACTGTCATTCTTGCTTGGAATTTCTTTGTAGTCGATGCTCCTAAAAGAATGATAACAGACATCATAACACTCAAGATTACCCCCTCTTTTCATTTATACCATGCCTTAGAAAATACAGCCAATTCGAATCCAGGAAAGCCGTTGTATATTCAACGGTATTACACCTAACCTTCCCCATCATGCGCATTTGTCCTACAGATTGTGTTAGCCACTGCATTTTCTGTGGCATGGTATAAAATAGTTATGCAGTGCAACGCTCTTTTTTATGAGGTATTCCATGGAATTGACACCTTAATTTATAAGATACCCCGATTTTCACGCACGGGTACGGCTAGCGCAATTTTGAATTCATTAAATGATCACGTGATAGCGTCCTTCCCGTAAGAGGCTACACGTTTTCCCGGGGTAATAGAGAGGTTAAGCATGACGTTTACGGCAAACGGTAAACGGCAAAAATGAAACTTTTGCCGTCTCTCTTCAGCTGTGTGTACAGTAGAGTGGAATTATTTGTATTTGCAATGAATAGTAGGAGACGTCATTCCATTTTTGTGAGCTTTATTTACGGATTAGAAGAAAAGAACTCAAAATCAGAAGTTGTCTTTGCCGTTTGCCGTCTGCCGTCTGCCATTAACGTCATGCTTAACCTCTCTAATATCTCACTTGTCACTTGTATTTTCTTGGAATACAGTACACACCAGCCTTCAGTCGAGTGTGTATACCAAGAAAATACAAGTGACTCGTGGGATACTCCATGGTACCCCACTCGAAAACGTTGTATAACTCGTGTACATTGTGCCATCTATGTTATTTTTGGAGTCTACAGATAAATTTGGATGCATATGAGATCCACCATTATGTTTAAAGCGTGGTTACTTAGCCACTAGGGAAGTGTTAACATGCGTCGTGTATTGAACTTGCTTCTAAGTCATAACGCTTATCGTTCTTTTTACCTGAAGGACTTTTTTTAAACAAAAACAGCGGAGTAGAGAGCTAAGACTGGGGAGGGGTTGAGAAATTGACATGGGAGGGAGGGGTCAGTTCTCAATTTTGTCTCAAGTGGACGTGTATCTGGCACTGAGGCCTAAAAATGCAACTGCCTCCACCCAGGTAACTTCTCAGTCTGACGTTCAATAATGAATCGTACCAGAAAGAAAAAGAATCGCACATCTGATGGCGGTAACAGATTTTGATTAAAAGCAAACGAGAAAATTAAAATGTAAGAATAGTACTAAAGCCAACTTGGACGCTATTGATACCTGTAACAGTAGCCGTTGGAGACGGAGTACTTGAAGTAGATGGCTGATCAGTTGAATTGACGCTGACCTTTCCAAGAATAGTGTAACCCAGGGTTGTTCCATTACCACGGTTAAGAGCCTGAACTATAGTATCCACTGTCGCATCCGACGATTTCTGTACCACGATATCAAAATCCACTACCACGCTTCCATTTGCTAGACCTTTAACCACAACACGTTCAAAACCGTCGAGTTCCGTATTTAGGAATCCTCCTACACTTCGACTAAAGTTATATGCAAATATTTTGAAATCTGTTGAACTGGAGTCGTTGAAACCAGCTTTATACGTTTCGTTCACTGTCATTCTTGCTTGGAATTTCTTTGTAGTCGATGCTCCTAAAAGAATGATAACAGACATCATAACACTCAAGATTACCCCCTCTTTTCATTTATACCATGCCTTAGAAAATACAGCCAATTCGAATCCAGGAAAGCCGTTGTATATTCAACGGTATTACACCTAACCTTCCCCATCATGCGCATTTGTCCTACAGATTGTGTTAGCCACTGCATTTTCTGTGGCATGGTATAAAATAGTTATGCAGTGCAACGCTCTTTTTTATGAGGTATTCCATGGAATTGACACCTTAATTTATAAGATACCCCGATTTTCACGCACGGGTACGGCTAGCGCAATTTTGAATTCATTAAATGATCACGTGATAGCGTCCTTCCCGTAAGAGGCTACACGTTTTCCCGGGGTAATAGAGAGGTTAAGCATGACGTTTACGGCAAACGGTAAACGGCAAAAATGAAACTTTTGCCGTCTCTCTTCAGCTGTGTGTACAGTAGAGTGGAATTATTTGTATTTGCAATGAATAGTAGGAGACGTCATTCCATTTTTGTGAGCTTTATTTACGGATTAGAAGAAAAGAACTCAAAATCAGAAGTTGTCTTTGCCGTTTGCCGTCTGCCGTCTGCCATTAACGTCATGCTTAACCTCTCTAATATCTCACTTGTCACTTGTATTTTCTTGGAATACAGTACACACCAGCCTTCAGTCGAGTGTGTATACCAAGAAAATACAAGTGACTCGTGGGATACTCCATGGTACCCCACTCGAAAACGTTGTATAACTCGTGTACATTGTGCCATCTATGTTATTTTTGGAGTCTACAGATAAATTTGGATGCATATGAGATCCACCATTATGTTTAAAGCGTGGTTACTTAGCCACTAGGGAAGTGTTAACATGCGTCGTGTATTGAACTTGCTTCTAAGTCATAACGCTTATCGTTCTTTTTACCTGAAGGACTTTTTTTAAACAAAAACAGCGGAGTAGAGAGCTAAGACTGGGGAGGGGTTGAGAAATTGACATGGGAGGGAGGGGTCAGTTCTCAATTTTGTCTCAAGTGGACGTGTATCTGGCACTGAGGCCTAAAAATGCAACTGCCTCCACCCAGGTAACTTCTCAGTCTGACGTTCAATAATGAATCGTACCAGAAAGAAAAAGAATCGCACATCTGATGGCGGTAACAGATTTTGATTAAAAGCAAACGAGAAAATTAAAATGTAAGAATAGTACTAAAGCCAACTTGGACGCTATTGATACCTGTAACAGTAGCCGTTGGAGACGGAGTACTTGAAGTAGATGGCTGATCAGTTGAATTGACGCTGACCTTTCCAAGAATAGTGTAACCCAGGGTTGTTCCATTACCACGGTTAAGAGCCTGAACTATAGTATCCACTGTCGCATCCGACGATTTCTGTACCACGATATCAAAATCCACTACCACGCTTCCATTTGCTAGACCTTTAACCACAACACGTTCAAAACCGTCGAGTTCCGTATTTAGGAATCCTCCTACACTTCGACTAAAGTTATATGCAAATATTTTGAAATCTGTTGAACTGGAGTCGTTGAAACCAGCTTTATACGTTTCGTTCACTGTCATTCTTGCTTGGAATTTCTTTGTAGTCGATGCTCCTAAAAGAATGATAACAGACATCATAACACTCAAGATTACCCCCTCTTTTCATTTATACCATGCCTTAGAAAATACAGCCAATTCGAATCCAGGAAAGCCGTTGTATATTCAACGGTATTACACCTAACCTTCCCCATCATGCGCATTTGTCCTACAGATTGTGTTAGCCACTGCATTTTCTGTGGCATGGTATAAAATAGTTATGCAGTGCAACGCTCTTTTTTATGAGGTATTCCATGGAATTGACACCTTAATTTATAAGATACCCCGATTTTCACGCACGGGTACGGCTAGCGCAATTTTGAATTCATTAAATGATCACGTGATAGCGTCCTTCCCGTAAGAGGCTACACGTTTTCCCGGGGTAATAGAGAGGTTAAGCATGACGTTTACGGCAAACGGTAAACGGCAAAAATGAAACTTTTGCCGTCTCTCTTCAGCTGTGTGTACAGTAGAGTGGAATTATTTGTATTTGCAATGAATAGTAGGAGACGTCATTCCATTTTTGTGAGCTTTATTTACGGATTAGAAGAAAAGAACTCAAAATCAGAAGTTGTCTTTGCCGTTTGCCGTCTGCCGTCTGCCATTAACGTCATGCTTAACCTCTCTAATATCTCACTTGTCACTTGTATTTTCTTGGAATACAGTACACACCAGCCTTCAGTCGAGTGTGTATACCAAGAAAATACAAGTGACTCGTGGGATACTCCATGGTACCCCACTCGAAAACGTTGCATAACTCGTGTACATTGTGTCATCTATGTTATTTTTGGAGTCTACAGATAAATTTGGATGCATATGAGATCCACCATTATGTGTAAAGCGTGGTTACTTAGCCACTAGGGAAGTGTTAACATGCGTCGTGTATTGAACTTGCTAATTACACACGAAAACGATTATAATGATAGGGGAAGCACGAAATAATTGACAGTTAAAGTAACGGATGACCGATGAAACATTTGCAACGTTTAAAGAACATCTGGTGAAAATGTGACAATGATCGAAAAGACAAAAAAGGCAGAAGTTTTAAACCAACGAACGAAGTACACCGTAAAGTGAACAAACTTAACTGAATTTGTCATAATAACTAACACATAATTTATGGAACCCGCTAATACGAACTCGCTTATTTCAAACTCCCCGTTATTTCGAACTAGAACCATTTCCTTTGGGTTTGCCCTTCATTCTTTTTCTATCGGCTATTTCGAAGTCATTTTCTGTTTCCCCTGAGAGCTCGAAATAGCGGGGTTCAACTGTAAAGAATGGTTCAAACTGGCGACATAACGACATAACGACATGAGGAAAAGATCAATTTTATCTTTATGTCGTTATGTTCATGCTGTTACGTTGCTAATATGTCATTATGTCTACATGTTCACACTACAAACATAACGTCCTTTTTACGTCGAGATAACGTCCCTTTTATGTCGTTCGAGACGATGTCGTTATGTCGCTAGTGTGAACCAGGCTTTACATATAACAAACAATTATTATGCATAATGCGTCCAAAGAGAATATGGCCTCGATAGGCAGTTTTCGGTCTCTATCTAAGGCCTGGTTCACACTAGCGACATGCCGACATAACGACATAATCGCTAATGTCGGTAATGTCAACATCGACAAAAAGAAATAAGCAAAGCATCAGCTTTTTCCTTAGGACGTTATGTTCGTGCTGTTATGTTGCTGTTATGACATTATGTCAGGATTTTCACACTGCAAACATAACGACATAACGTTCTTGTTGTGTCGTTATGTTGCTAGTGTAAACTAGGCTTAACTGTGAATGACAATACTCGGGATAGTGGCCGGCAAAACCTGTGTCGCTTTAACAAGACATCTTAGAAGGTTGTTTCACTTGCAATGTGCGGAACACACTGCCAACTAAAGCAAAATTCAAACTTACCAGGTGCTACTGAAGTTGAATGCGTAACATTAGCGCTTGAGCTTGGTGCTAAAGGTCAAAAAAATAATTATTAATAAATTCATATCACAATCAGTAAATACTTTAATTAATTCCAAATTTGTCTTTGCTTTGTATTTTCCTTTTTATTTTCACCCCGTGACTTTTCACGCTTGGTTTTTGATTTCGCTTTATTATTTTCATCTAGCACGTGCAAGAGCTGTACAAATTGTTTTTCAAATTGTTTCTAAAACTGTTTCTCAGCTTTGCTATCATTTTAGGTTTAGATGTTTTTACTACAAAGTTATCTGCTATTTATTTACTTCTCGTGGCATATCTGTAAAGAAGCCGGTGCAGGTTTTTTAAACTTAACCATATAGCTATGTATTGTATTGTCTTGTCTTGTCTTGTCTTGTCTTGCATTGCATTGCATTGCATTGCATTACATTGCATTGCATTGTATTGTATTGTATTGTAAATACTTACTAGCTTGAATGCTGTTGGGATCTATGACTGTCGCTGAAGCTGATGGACTTGGCTGAACGGCTATATATTATGGTAAAAAAAAGGAAATAATAATGTATGTTTTTTTTTAAATCATGGAGCTCGCAGTTTTCCCTTAATTTTAAGAGATGTCAATGTAGCCCAAGATACAATCAGGGATTCAACTGAGGAAAATACTTACTTGCTCGAGTGGAACCAAGAACTACTGCAGTTTCCGTTTGATCGGCTGACTGAACAGCTGTACATTATACAAAAAAGATAATAATAAGAAATATTTTAAAGTTACCACAGAGTTCGCAGTTTTCCTTTAATTCTAAATGAGCTACGTCACGGTTTGCGCATCTTGAAAAGTTTAGCCTAAATGTTTCAAGTTCGTCGTTTGTAATCCGTGTAAATCTTCTCCATCCTTAAAGTGCACCTAGCCCCCAAATTTTTTTTTCGCTAAAACAAATCTAGACTTAATTTGAAGCATTTGGGCGAAGAAATTTTTGAATTTGGTTGAATCCTCGATTTCCTATGCCCTTTCAAAGTCGCGATT